CAAATCAACCTCGTGGAGTAAAACCTCCAACTCGGATTAATTCTCGTTGGAGTCAGAATAGTATGTGCCTGATGTTGAAGTATGTGCCTTATAGATGTATGAGCCTGACTGGAAGTATGAGCCTGAATTGAAGTTTACGATGTTTGGCCCCACATGCATTCCCGGGCCACGGACTGTTGTTCCTCTACCCGTTGTCAATCGCATTTCTTTTAGAGCGATCTTGACTGGTGTGACCTCTTAGGACTGATGAAAAGTGATCATAGAAAATTGGTCTATGAGCCACTACGAAGGGAATTGACAGTGACGAGGACACAGAGGCTTTCGTGCAATATTGCTTGCTATTTCTTTTTTCCATTTTCTTACCGTTACCATCCAAAGACAGGTCATCCCAGTGCGTTCCGTTTCGAGCATCAATGGGTCATCAAAAAGTAATCACAGAATCTCTCAGGCTTTTAGATACTTTGATCGCAAGCAGTGCTAAATTCTGTTAACGCCATGTCTTTGGTTCGAAGACATTATTGTAATTCAACGGAAAGTGCTTGTCGGTCGTAATCCCAACCCACTCTTTTCATATGCCATATCAATCATCTTCATCTGCTTGATCGAGTCTTCCTCAGTGATCCAGTAATGTGTCTCGCGGCCCTTGACCCGGTTGACAAACGCCTCGAGCTGATACCGGAATGACGACCACCAGTACTCGCCCAGACCCGGAAGCCCGTCCTCGGCATCTTGAAACGTGTACGCTGTGTGCGAACTCGATTCTACCCACTTCTTGACTGTTTGACCGTTGACAACGTTGCGAATCTCACACGAGTCTTCAACATCAATCCGATGCCAGGCGACCGCGTGCATGAACCCATGGAGAGTGACTAACCGCGTGCGCGTCATCTCCTGAGTGTCCGGCAAGTTCTTGTCGGGAACCACAACCTTCCTATGTGTAACTCTGGCTTCAGAGGGCTTCCAGAGAGCAGGGCCCTTCACAGTGGTCGTGGCATAGCCAGTCCCGTTGGGAAATTGAAACCTGGCCTTGAAAGTGTAGTCGCACTGTTTGCAGTCGCCATCGTCAAAGACTGCAGTATCGCATTCGAGACACTCTTCAGGCTCTTGGCCAAAGATCATGCGCATGACTCCAAAGTTGTACGTTCCGAGTGCCATGATACTGCCGCCTCCGAGATGGTATTTGTGGTTTAGGTTGTCCGCCGCAGTGAACCAGGCGGGTGCCATGCTGTCTGTGTGAACGTGAATGACGTCGGCAGGAGTGACAAAAGTCATGAATTTGTGCAGTGCGGGATGGAATTTGTTGTGCATAGCTTCCAGCAAGACCCTCGGGCTTGGGTGTGCTGACGACAGTTCTGGCATATTGAAAAGGATATCGGCCTCAATCGCGTTATCAACCGACGGCTTTTCGACCAAAACATGTTTTCCAGCTCGTATTGCTCGTGAAGACCACTCATAATGCAAGGCGTTTGGCAAGGGCACAAAAATGGCGTCGATATTTGGGTCATCGAGGATTTCTTCAAGAGTGGTTAGAGTCACTTGGCTCATAGGATATCGACATCGAGTGTCTGGAACTCGATATACCTTGATAAGTGTCCCTGACCTCGGGGATACCATGCTTCTTAGCAAATTCCTCAGCGCGAGAACGATCTCTGGCAGCAATGGCCTGTACGATGACTTCTGGGTGTGACAAAGCCGGTGTAATCAATGCCATAGACCTTGTAAATTTCAGATTATTACGAAATGTTCTTTGACATCGGGCTACCGATTATACTCACACGATTTTGGCAGCACCCAGAACTCCAACTTTCATTGCACCGTCTGTCTTCTTTACTACAGGCGGGTTGAATGCCTTGTAAACACGGATTGGAAGTAGTGCCATCTCAGCGACTCCGGTGATAGCTTCCAGTCATGAGCCCGAAGGATGATGAACGTACGAATGGTTGAGAACATATAGGCCGAGTCAACGAAAGAAATTGAACCAACTCACGTACTTAGTTACTTATGATCATTGAACCAATTTTATTTTTCTGCCTGGAGCCCAAGATTCGCCGCCAACTTCCGGGTGAGGACGGATGTATTCTTTAGCGCTGTCGGCAATGCACAGCCCCAAGGTCACATCGTTGGAGCACTCCTACATACAGTCAGCAGCATTGGGAACGAGGAGCGATCGGCAGATTGTCCCACATCATCTCCAAAAAAGAAGTTCAAAATGTGAGGGCTCCGCTCGATCTTCTCGAGTCTGGTTCCCGGCGTAGCTCTGACTGCAGCGGACGAGCGGTGCAGAGCTCGCGAACACTTTGCAATACAGACGATGGCAAGCTTCATGAGCCGGATTCGCTGAGGGGAGGCCGATGCCTTCTATTCCCTGCGAAGCAATCTGCAAGTCCCTCGTCTGACGTTGCTGAGTGAGTTTTGCATGATCAGGGCAATTCCGCTACCTCCCAGGATACTCTATACCCACCCTGCACGGGAAGCAATCTGAGACTTAACAATCTCTTCAGTAGGCACACATGAAGTATACGAGAATGTGCTGTATAAAAGTGTCCACATCCTACAATCTTGTTCCACATTGTTTTCATATCTTGTCCAAAGCTAAATCTTACTCATCCTAGCTTAAGAAAGCACGGAGAGTTACAGCACATTTACTTCGATAGGGCATCGCATATGGCAGTATCCTTGCGTATCATCAATCTACCAATACCAAGGCATAATAGCCCGTCTCTCTATTATGGGTGTCCTGCTCAGCCCGACCCTACGTAATCACTATCAATAATACCATCATATGGAAGATTGATCTCCCTTGGCATCGGAACCCGAGTCGGCCTGCCTTCACGCTGTCCTCCTATATTTGACCTAAAAGGTGTATTACAAGGGCGCGCCCGAATATGAAGGTGAGAGGGATTTCATTCGAATTTCAGAAAGAGACTCTTCTCCTTTCGGAAGAAACGCTCTTTGCGTAGCACCGGAACTATTCCAGATATTTCATGCATTCGGTTCAAGGGAAGATGAAGAGTTCGACAAGGGATGTTTTCTGACTACCTTAACACAAAGATACAGGCAATATCACTAATGAAGGATGTAAAAGATCCAGTTTCCAAATTTACTCGTAGTCAATCACAATAGCTTTAGGCCTAGTAGTTAGAGCGAAGGATGAGCCAGGCATCCCAACCGTCTACAGGTACGTTAAGGGCGGCCTGGCACTTCATAACCTCCACGGTACTAGTAACCTGAGGTCCAGGTGTCCGCAGGTCAGGAGGTGAACGGGTCAGAAGTCAACCGGACATCCGAAGCATACCTCCCAGTTGGCGTAGAACTATGAGTCGGCAAATTGATTCGATGATTGCGAGCTACCCCTCATTTCCGTGGCAATGGCACCTAAGGTCCAGTCCCATTGCAGATGATTGAAACAAATCCAATGGGACGAACGAATCGGATAAGTTGGAGATGAACCTTCCTTCCCCAGGCTTTGCTGCCAGGCAGGCCAAGGTCCCTACCGTGTCTTTGTAATCGGACAACATAAAGACCGAGTTACCCCTCTTCTGGACATTGGTGATAGGATCGATCTTTCTTCGTACATGATAGATTCGACGTCCATTTACTGTAGCTGACCCTAGTCCTATACATTCAAAGTGCATTAAAGAGTTCTTCTGTACGACTACAACAATGGCACCTTCCGCGACTGAAAAGGCACAAGCCAAGTTCTTTGCCATCCTGGAAGATCCCCGACGTTATGACTCTTCAAGTTTGTCGCCCCAGCTTAGAATTGAAACCAACGCAGGATCAGAACTGACTTCGAGACTGAAGACTCTAAGAATAGGGTCATGATAACGCGAACACCGTCCAGTGGTTCCGATTTGACCAACAACATGACTGGTCGTCGTGGTAGCGCCAGCAGTCAAGGCTCTGCCACTGACCAACATCATCTTCGAAATAGACTCAAGACCTGGCTCTATCCCGGAGCGGTTTGATACAATTCGTCAAATCTTCCTATTTTCAAACGCGCTATAATTATTGGGGACGCCAGACTGGACATTCGTCTCTGTGTTGTCTGATGTTGGCGTTTTGAGTCAACTTTCCCAAACCGTTTTCTAGGTCTCTCGGGGATACTGGGATGATCGCAGATTGCCGGGAGTATGACTTGTTTCAAGGATGGTGTTATACTGTTTATGTCCTCTATTATTTTGGAATGTAACAATTTGTCTAGGATAGGAATTTATGAATGAGTTCTACTCGAAAGACCTCTCATTGTTTATCTGTTCACGATTTACCAAGTCTTCGTTGGGCTTGAGGTATGAAATGGAGACATGATAAAATGAATGCCGTAACCATGATCGCTGACACGAGACACATATCTTCTAAATCAGTGACGGCTTGCGAAATACTTCTTCAGATGTATACAGCCGAGCAAAACTTCCAGTAGTTTCCCATGTGGCCATGTATTATCCGTCTACAAGCTACTCCACACAGCGTGTAATCAAGGACGCAGTGAGCCGGCATGACGCAGGGGAATATTGCGTTGAGGAATTACCTAGCCCCATAAGCGAGCTTGAGAGAAAAATGAATAATCATGTATTTCTCGCGAGCAAGTTTCAAACGAGGTGTTCTGACGGCGTGCAAAGACCAATCAAATCTGTTTGGTTTCGTTCATCATCGCTTCTAACCAGACGGCTTTCTCGGTCCCAGTCTCGCAAGCAACTTCGACAGAATCTTCTCTTTGGAGTATTCAAGATCTCTTATATGCCACAGAAGCAGGAACACAAGTCCGATAGCAACCATTTCTCGTTGTGAGTCCCGACTATGAGGCAGAAGCAGAACTCCCTCACTGTGGTCAACCGGATGGTGGGGATGACCTCCAGCGTAGTGATAGACTGTCATGATATGTGACTCCGTTTCTTCACCGTGATTTCTTTGGTCGAGTTCCGTCAGATGGTAGCAGAGTGAGCCGACATCTTGAGGTCGAAGCTGCCACTGCATTCCAGGGTGATCATCTGATGTCATGTTTAGGGCTGGGTATTGTCTAGATCTTGACAGAGAAGGCCCATTTCTTCCCACTGAAAAAGGTGGAAGTAGGGATGCAAGAACATGAACGTTGCCCAGACCAGGTACTTCAAGTGCTGATCCTCCCTGCCGTTCGTTGGGAAGAGTTCTAAAGGCACTTATCAGTCCTTCAATTTGTTTACGTGAGAGTGAGCTGGATTCTCTGCCTTACATTGTGATGGCGTGATTATCATCAAGAACCACGCTTCTTTGTTGGACTGTGACAAGAATTTGATTAGGCGCCACGTCGATGAAGAATTCGACATTGGAATCCATTTCGTCGCCTTTAGGTCGGCGCATGAACATCATGTTGATTTTGTACATGCCAGATCCCATGGGAGCGTCCTTAACAGCCTCATTATAGATATTGTTGATATCGTACCTGGTAGGTGTGTCACTGTGCTGGTATGTCTTGGGAAGAAGAGAATCCGAGAGAGCCCTGCCGCTGGATGAGGAACTCCGTTCTTTTCAGTTTGGGCGAGACTTTGGGATGCAATCGGTTCAGGAGTGTAAGGAAGAGGTTTGTGCAGACTGTCGAGACTGTCGTTACTCTCCATGTGAGCCTCTATATACCAATAATAAGGGTCGGTTGGTTGACACATTTCAAAATCGAACGACGGAGGTGAAAGCGACTGAGTTCGGAGAACTTTGAAGTTAATGAGAAATTTCCAAATGAATTCATAAGGACACTGGAAACCTGAGTTTAAAGGATTGGGGACATATTTATTAGGACTTCGCTAAAAACCCTCCTCTACTTCACTCGATTTGCGTGTTGCGACTAGCTTGAGCCTATGCCGTCGCAGATTGAGCCTTCCCACCTAACTTTGAGTATTACCGGCATAGCATCCTCCAGCTGCGACGGTGGAGTCTCCGAATACGTGAACAAATCCGGAAAACAATTCCCAGACGAGTCTATGTCGCACAATGGATATCAACACCGGCGATCGAGCCCTAGCTTCAAGTCGTGCTCGAATTTTGTGCGACATTTGCATTTTCAAGATTCACGTGCGCCGAGAAGTTCGAGGATTATCAACCCGCCGGCTGGTTGTCTAACCTAAAAGGGTACATGCTTCAACCGCTCCACTTGACCGCTACCTAGGCCCCGAACTGGGGTTATCTTAGATACAGTCCAACTCGAGACTCAGTTGTTGGACTTATTTTCAATGCATTAGTTCGGACGCAATCCCGCCTTGAACCTTAACTTTTGATGGTGTAATTCATAGGACCACGTCGTTGCGGCTGGGACCCCGACTCTGGGATTTGAAACCCTGTGTGCAGCCATACTAGTCTAGTACGTGAAGGTAGACAGCTATCATTCATCGAATCTTGACCCAGCTCCATGGTCAGGAAGTAGGTACTTTTGTAGGGTACCACGACGGGAAGAACTCTGCGTTGGTTTTGGCTACAGACAAGATGGCCGCTCCGATCATCGATGAGCCACGTTCATTCTGATAGGGTTGCGTGCGGCATACATTAACCGGTACATCGGTCACAGATCTACAATTGCACAGGAATCCCTTTCTACGAGCGATTCCTCGGCAGTGTCCCAGCCGGTATCTGTTCCGATGCGGCACGGCGTTTGCACACCTTCACAGGAGGATTCGACTTTTTTAGACCTCGCTGCCTATTGTGCATGCAAGCATAGCAGATCTTACCACCCAGTTCTACATAAGACAAGCACATCATGCATCTTTGTCACTTCAAAGTACTTCACCCACACGGAGGTCATGTCCGTATTAATACAGCACATCTGGAGGATTCGCATTTCCATAAGGATGGTGGCATCACACAGGGAGCATGGTTCGGGCTCCCATATACTAAGCAACCTTTCAACGATGATCATCTTTCGCATGGTAACAAATCGGCCTTTTGCCATGGCACATCCGGCATTCGTTTAGTCTACTGACTCCACTGCACCTTGAACTGGGCAAACTCGACTTTCAGCCCATCCTTGGCGTCCTTATCCGGTCTCGCAGCCAGCGGACTGACATCCAAGACCCAGTCACCCTCATTCTCGTCCGCAAAGATCCAACAAATTTTCCTCAGAGGGATTCTCTTTTTGATGTTTCCGTCTCTATCCAGCAACAGGTGGTGTACCCAAGCATTTTTACCTTGGGGACCTCCGTCCCGGAAGACCTCAATCGTCACGCTCTTATTGTCCTCGCCATCCCCTAGGGTCAAGGGATAGAGGCCCCAGTCGGCATACCGGTCACAGGTGACTGTGCTCAAGTGAGGCTGGCCATCATATAGCTCGATTCCGGTCTTGATCCATTTACTGTTTGGAGGCGCTGCCTCTGAGGCTAGTCTCGGCACAAGAAGCACACCAGATTGGTCGTATGAGTGGGCCCAGGGAGCCGAGAAAGTGACGCGAACTGAAAGGAAGTTCTTCAGAGGGCCAGTGCTGGTATGGATATTTGGGACTATGAATCGTCAGTGCATGTCGCAAGTGTCACAATATGAGAAATAGCTTGTGGAGAGGTCCGAATTTGATTCTAGGCGGCAGGCCGAGACCCAAGAAATGAAGAGGTTGAGGTGGCATGTATGTTACATGTACTTACTGTTCCATGCGTTGTGTCCGGGCTTTCTCCAGATATCAGTCCCGGGATCCGCCTCAACGGTGAACGGCGTTGTATTATCCAGAGATGCCATATTCGGTAAAAGGACCAGGCTAGTAATTTGTGTGTTTTGGGTGAATGTGAGTGCAGGTGTGCATGGGGGTGAGTGAGCTGACCTCTATTTATTCTTTAAATGCCCTGCGTTGCACCGATTTCTTATTAAGCATAAGGAAGCCCCTTACACCATTTCCTAATGGCTCGAGGGTGGCCTAAATTAGCCCCGCGCGGGGCATGAGCTGATTGCGTTCTCGGTCAGCCCTACTGACCCCAGTCCAAGCCAAGGCCTTCAGCAGACACTAGCTAGGCTCAATGAGGCCGAATAAGGGTCGATCTGTAGCATCCTGGTCGTGGACTATTTGACCTGAAGAGCTCAATCAAAGTTTTGTTCTATCTAATCTATGTGGTTTTGTGCGTGGTGATCGTATCCGATTCAATGTGAGTTGGCTTGACAGACTGTCTTGACATGAAATGCAAGAGAAACGATAGAAAGGAAAGGAAAATAGAAAACTAGTGAGAGACCAGTACAACCATAGAACGTAACTCTTGATCGCCCATCATGCTCAAATCTGCCCTTTTTCTCTCATCTCGTCAAAAACACTGTCCACAACTCGCTTGGCACGACAAACGATCTCCTCCACATCCGTGGGGGTGACGGTGAAGGGCGGGGCAAGAAGAAAGTGATCTCCGTTCCAACCATCGGCGCAGCCCGTGGAGGAAAAGAGGCAAACATCGTAGCCCTTCTCAAGTCCACGAAGACGCATACGGCGAGCAAGATTCAAGGAAGGGTCCAGGGGCGCCTTTGTAGTCTTGTCTGCCACAAACTCAATGCACCAAAACATGCCGCGGCCGCGAACATCGCCAACGTGGGGATGGTCTTTGAATGCCTGACGAAGGAGGTGCCCAAATAAGATGCCCATGAGACGCGCGTTGCGAACAAGGTGCTTCTCCTTGATGATGCGCTGCACCTCGACGGCAGCGACAACGTTGAGCGGGTGACATTGGTACGTTTGTCCGTGCTGAAAGGAGGCGCTACCCTGCTTGAGGCCCTCGATGACGCGTTCATGAATGAGAATGGCAGAGATTGTGCCATATCCAGCTGCGAGTCCCTTGCCCACGGCCTGAATGTCAGGAACGACATTGTCATGTTGCCAGGCGTGCATGTAGCCGGTTCGCCCGAGACCGCACATGACCTCGTCAAAGATGATGAGAGCACCATGACGATGACAAACATCTTTCATAGCCTGCAGATATCCGGGCAAAGCTGTGACGCATCCGAGGGCCTGGGAAATTTAGCAAGAGAACTAAGAAGAAACAGACCAGGCTGAGTATAGCTTACAGTGCCAACCATCGGTTCGATAATGAAGGCGCACACATTGTCTGGGCCTAATCTCTGGAACTCGCCCTCCAGCTCAAGAGCCAATCGCTCTACATACTCCTCAACCGATTCGCCACTTTCTAGCTCTCTGTAGGGATGGCAAGGAGACACATGGGAAACATTGTCAGCCAGGACGTCCATGAAAGGCTCTTTACGGGCCTTCAAGTCGCCAACGGCCAAAGTGCCCAGAGTACAGCCGTGCCAGGAGCTCTCCCTGGCGATGAATTTGGTACGAGGAGCTTTGGGATCTTTCTCAAGGAAGTATTGCCGAGCAAGCTTCAAAGCTCCCTCGACCGCCTCGGAGCCTGCCCAAAGTATCAGTTTTCGGTCTTATGAACTCTGTCAAAGTCTTGTTCTTACCAGATCCTAGGAGACACGCTCTCGACAACTGACCATTGGTCGACTTAACCAGAATATCGGCAAGCTCATGAGAAGGATCATTCTGGAAGTAGCCTGGGTGAGCATAAGTGAACTTGTTGAGCTGCTTGATGATGGCGCTCTTGACTCGCTCGTTGCCATGACCGATGGCAGAGACTGCTGCTCCACCAGTGGAGTCGAGAATCTTTTGGCCATTCTTCAGGGTGAAGTAGAGTCCATCGGCATATTCAACTGTAGGAGCTGAGGAAGGGTAAACGCTCTGATAAAAGAGCGAGTTCTCTGCGGGAACAAGGTCATCGGCGATTGCGAGGGAGCCCATGATAAGCTTTGGGGGTATGGTATTAAATCAAGGTAAAATTGATACGGATGTAGATGAAAGATTGTAATGTCTGGGTCGGTGGGAGAAAGAAAAAAACCGGCTTCGGAGATGCGATTTCTTGTGAACTAAATAGTCTGAAATGAAAATTTGAGAAGACGTATCCAGAGTAATCCCGAACTCCGTCTGTATTAGATATGCCAACCAATTTCTCGACCCCCGAGTCCGCTCCGAGCTGCTGTGATTGAAATGCCGCAAGCAGGGAATGTTCCATCTTCCATGAAACTTCGTACTGCATTTTAGGCAGCTGCCTACATCCAACCATGTTCCACTAACCATCTAGAGACATAGATGGTACTTTGATGGTGACGATCTGATTGTCGAAGAAGTCCTCCTCGTTTGATAATCACGAAAATTTGAAATTGATTTGTCATTTCATGGATGCCTCGTCTCCAACTCTCATGTCTGGAGTAGGCTGTTGCCGCTGTTGACTAAAGTAGTTGCTTATGACCTATACGAACTTGTGTAACAATGACAACTCTCATATTCTGCGCAAATGTCTCCAAATCCCACTGGTAGGGCTTAGCAAACTTACGTGGAAACAATATCTGACCTTAACCGCCAGTGTGAGATGACCAAGTAAGTAAGTACG